GCAGTGCCTCCAGTACACAGTAAGACACTTTCATTATAGAGAGTGGCTGTTACATGGCCTGGGACCAAAGAAAGCATTTATTGTACGGGCCAGTGCTAGGCGGATTGGAAGCGGTCAATAAATACTTGGTGAATTGAATTGTGGAGAAGTCATTGTAACCACATCAACAAAGCACTGTTACTCTATATGCTGGGCAAACGTGGAGAAGTAGCTATATTAGGTAGGGAACCAGGAAACGTAATGAAAGTTTGCTCTGTAATGTTTCTCCAGGTTTGTATCCTGTCTGAATTACTATGCAAAATTCTTGTTCATTTCAGGCAGTTTTCACCAATCTTAACTACAAATAGGGAAGTTAGTTACTTAATACCATAGTCTTTTGATGATTCTGATTAAAAATTTTTAATGTTTTATATTGCATCTAAATACAGATTAATGTTACAATAAATCTTGCCTTTTCATACTGTGGTAGTATCAATAGTCTGGGTAGCTAGCTGTCTTGAAAGGTAGCTTTTTCATGTTTTAAAACATGTTATAGCTCTGTTAAAAAATGGGGGTAGAGGGGCAATTTATTTTAACTTTCAAGACTATGTCCTGAAAAAGATACTGGGCTGTTCAGTAAACAGTCTTTGACATAAACTGAGTTTGTAACTCCAAGCACTTTTTGTAAGATAATTGTTCATATTTATCCATGGTGAGAACTGATTGCTGGGGCTAATCTTATCTAAAGTGGATGATATGTCGTTTTTCAGCTCAGAGGGACCCCAGAGGTAGTTTTCTATTGCTCTGAGCACCCGCCCCCGCNGTTTTTCAGCTCAGAGGGACCCCAGAGGTAGTTTTCTATTGCTCTGAGCACCCGCCCCCGCCCCCCCATTTGACTGATAAGGACACTGAATGCCAGAGAAGTTAAATAACTCAGGGATGTGTAACCTATTTGTGGGAGACTAGAATTCAGTTGTTCCAGCCTCTGTGCTGCTTTCACTGTTACAGGATTTCTCCCATTGCTTAATCTTTTAAGCAGGCTGAAGATTGGAGTGTACAGTTACATTTCTTAAGTTTATTGAAAAAAACAAACACCTCTAGTGCCTACTAAATACCAGACACTGTTTTAAGTGCTTTATATATATTAACTCATTTAATCCTCACAACAGTTCTATGGGGCAAATACTGTTTTTTATTCCCATCATACAGATGAGGAAACTGATGCAGAGAGCCATTAACTTGCCTAAGGTCATCAACTAAGTAAGTGGTGGAGCAGTTCTAATGTTAACATGAAACTCTTTCAAGTAACCAGTGGAACAAATTTGAGAAAGACATTGAATGCAGAATGAGTGGGCAAAAAATAGTAACATT